CCAATCGGGCAGCCGCAGTCCGCCTCCAAAGCGACGCCGCAGCCAATCGGGCAGCCGCATTCCGCCTCCAAAGCGACGCCGCAGCCAATCGGGCAGCCGCAGTCCGCCTCCAAAGCGACGCCGCAGCCAATCGGGCAGCCGCAGTCCGCCTCCAAAGCGATGCCGCAGCCAATCGGCCAGCCGCAGTCCGCCTCCAAAGCGATGCCGCAGCCAATCGGCCAGCCGCAGTCCGCCTCCAAAGTGACGCCACGCTGTCTCCCTCCCCATCCAGGGGGAGGTCTCATCGTGAAGATCCTGAAGAGGACGGCAGTGTTTGATGACAGAGACACGGTCCCTGGCCCCCCCTTGGCTCAGAGCGTCCGCCTCAATGTTCCCAAGAAGACTAAGCTGTATGTGGACCAGACCCTAAGGGAACGCGAGAATGGCGTAGGTACGGATAATTGGGGAGCGCCGATTCAGCGCCTCGTGACCGACGAGCGCCGGTTCCGCGCCTCGTGACCGGGGAGCGCCGGTTCCGCGCCTCGTGACCGGGGAGCGCCGGTTCCGCGCCTCGTGACCGGGGAGCGCCGGTTCCGCGCCTCGTGACCGGGGAGCGCCGGTTCCGCGCCTCGTGACCGGGGAGCGCCGGTTCCGCGCCTCGTGACCGGGGAGCGCCGGTTCCGCGCCTCGTGACCGGGGAGCGCCGGTTCCGCGCCTCGTGACCGGGGAGCGCCGGTTCCGCGCCTCGTGACCGGGGAGCGCCGGTTCCGCGCCTCGTGACCGGGGAGCGCCGGTTCCGCGCCTCGTGACCGGGGAGCGCCGGTTCCGCGCCTCGTGACCGGGGAGCGCCGGTTCCGCGCCTCGTGACCGGGGAGCGCCGGTTCCGCGCCTCGTGACCGGGGAGCGCCGGTTCCGCGCCTCGTGACCGGGGAGCGCCGGTTCCGCGCCTCGTGACCGGGGAGCGCCGGTTCCGCGCCTCGTGACCGGGGAGCGCCGGTTCCGCGCCTCGTGACCGGGGAGCGCCGGTTCCGCGCCTCGTGACCGGGGAGCGCCGGTTCCGCGCCTCGTGACCGGGGAGCGCCGGTTCCGCGCCTCGTGACCGGGGAGCGCCGGTTCCGCGCCTCGTGACCGGGGAGCGCCGGTTCCGCGCCTCGTGACCGGGGAGCGCCGGTTCCGCGCCTCGTGACCGGGGAGCGCCGGTTCCGCGCCTCGTGACCGGGGAGCGCCGGTTCCGCGCCTCGTGACCGGGGAGCGCCGGTTCCGCGCCTCGTGACCGGGGAGCGCCGGTTCCGCGCCTCGTGACCGGGGAGCGCCGGTTCCGCGCCTCGTGACCGGGGAGCGCCGGTTCCGCGCCTCGTGACCGGGGAGCGCCGGTTCCGCGCCTCGTGACCGGGGAGCGCCGGTTCCGCGCCTCGTGACCGGGGAGCGCCGGTTCCGCGCCTCGTGACCGGGGAGCGCCGGTTCCGCGCCTCGTGACCGGGGAGCGCCGGTTCCGCGCCTCGTGACCGGGGAGCGCCGGTTCCGCGCCTCGTGACCGGGGAGCGCCGGTTCCGCGCCTCGTGACCGGGGAGCGCCGGTTCCGCGCCTCGTGACCGGGGAGCGCCGGTTCCGCGCCTCGTGACCGGGGAGCGCCGGTTCCGCGCCTCGTGACCGGGGAGCGCCGGTTCCGCGCCTCGTGACCGGGGAGCGCCGGTTCCGCGCCTCGTGACCGGGGAGCGCCGGTTCCGCGCCTCGTGACCGGGGAGCGCCGGTTCCGCGCCTCGTGACCGGGGAGCGCCGGTTCCGCGCCTCGTGACCGGGGAGCGCCGGTTCCGCGCCTCGTGACCGGGGAGCGCCGGTTCCGCGCCTCGTGACCGGGGAGCGCCGGTTCCGCGCCTCGTGACCGGGGAGCGCCGGTTCCGCGCCTCGTGACCGGGGAGCGCCGGTTCCGCGCCTCGTGACCGGGGAGCGCCGGTTCCGCGCCTCGTGACCGGGGAGCGCCGGTTCCGCGCCTCGTGACCGGGGAGCGCCGGTTCCGCGCCTCGTGACCGGGGAGCGCCGGTTCCGCGCCTCGTGACCGGGGAGCGCCGGTTCCGCGCCTCGTGACCGGGGAGCGCCGGTTCCGCGCCTCGTGACCGGGGAGCGCCGGTTCCGCGCCTCGTGACCGGGGAGCGCCGGTTCCGCGCCTCGTGACCGGGGAGCGCCGGTTCCGCGCCTCGTGACCGGGGAGCGCCGGTTCCGCGCCTCGTGACCGGGGAGCGCCGGTTCCGCGCCTCGTGACCGGGGAGCGCCGGTTCCGCGCCTCGTGACCGGGGAGCGCCGGTTCCGCGCCTCGTGACCGGGGAGCGCCGGTTCCGCGCCTCGTGACCGGGGAGCGCCGGTTCCGCGCCTCGTGACCGGGGAGCGCCGGTTCCGCGCCTCGTGACCGGGGAGCGCCGGTTCCGCGCCTCGTGACCGGGGAGCGCCGGTTCCGCGCCTCGTGACCGGGGAGCGCCGGTTCCGCGCCTCGTGACCGGGGAGCGCCGGTTCCGCGCCTCGTGACCGGGGAGCGCCGGTTCCGCGCCTCGTGACCGGGGAGCGCCGGTTCCGCGCCTCGTGACCGGGGAGCGCCGGTTCCGCGCCTCGTGACCGGGGAGCGCCGGTTCCGCGCCTCGTGACCGGGGAGCGCCGGTTCCGCGCCTCGTGACCGGGGAGCGCCGGTTCCGCGCCTCGTGACCGGGGAGCGCCGGTTCCGCGCCTCGTGACCGGGGAGCGCCGGTTCCGCGCCTCGTGACCGGGGAGCGCCGGTTCCGCGCCTCGTGACCGGGGAGCGCCGGTTCCGCGCCTCGTGACCGGGGAGCGCCGGTTCCGCGCCTCGTGACCGGGGAGCGCCGGTTCCGCGCCTCGTGACCGGGGAGCGCCGGTTCCGCGCCTCGTGACCGGGGAGCGCCGGTTCCGCGCCTCGTGACCGGGGAGCGCCGGTTCCGCGCCTCGTGACCGGGGAGCGCCGGTTCCGCGCCTCGTGACCGGGGAGCGCCGGTTCCGCGCCTCGTGACCGGGGAGCGCCGGTTTTATGGCATATTTCCTGTACATCAGGGGCGTAGTTGTGGTGCGACATCAGCAGCATAAAGAGCAGCGTTTCTCATCCGTTCTGGCAGCCATGCACAGAGCCTTCCAGATGGACCTGATCCGGCTGCGGCTCACGGCCGCACGGGCCTACGCCAAGGCCCTGGAGTGCAGCCTGACCCCCATGTCCGCCAGCCTCACCGAGCCGCTTAAGATGAACGCCGTGGTAAGGGAGCCTCACCGAGCCGCTTAAGATGAACGCCGTGGTAAGGGAGCCTCACCGAGCCGCTTAAGATGAATGCCGTGGTAAGGGCGCCGTCCGGACCGGCCCCATGGGACCCGGCGGGCTCTCAGGCCCGTCGAGCTGACTCACCGCGCCTCTGCACCTGCAGGTCCAGGGGCTCGGTCCGACGTTCAAGCTGACGCTGTACATCCAGAACACGGCCGCCTGCAAGCCCGCCATGGGCCTCGCTGTCTGCTTCTTGTACGACCAGACTCTCTACAGCATGAAGACCACCTTCTTTAAGGTCAGCAAAAGCCAGGCCGCTAGCCGGCCGCTCCTCCGCAAATGTGGGCCTCCGGTTTGATGGCTCTCTCTCTCAGATCCCCCTGCTTGTCCCGGGCCTGAACTACCCTTTTGAAACCTTTGTGGAGTGTCTGAGTGACCGGGGTATTTCTGACATCATCAAAGTAAGATCCCGACCCGCTTTCACCACAACATTCCACAACTGTTGTCTGTTGTCTTGATGTCTCCAGTAATAATTTCCTCCGCCAATAAAGATTCCAGTCACTCCAGAAGCCTTTCTACAGATTCAGAGCACAAATTGGATTTAATTCTTGTACTTGGAACTATTACGAAGAACACAGTTAATATGGCCGGACATGTTGGTGCTGTATGTTCATCTTTATTTTTATATTTCCAGGTGTTTATACTGCGAGAAGGAATCAGCACTCCGCTCCTGACCGCCCATATCAACATGCCTGTCAGCGAGGGACTCGCTCTCAGCTGAGAGGCTTCTAAGGACAACTGTGAGCCAATAGTAGGTCTGTATGGAGAGGCGTGGCTTCGTCCCACCTCTGCACAGCTGTCATTGGCTCGTGGAATAGAGAATGAACTGTAATTGGGCAAGTAGACGATTGTTTTATGGACTCCGTTACAGTGACGATTATATATAGTGTAATGTCTGTATGTAAATAGTTTATATATCAATGTCAGTTATGTAAAACACTATTTTTATCTACATGTACCTGTCAGTAATAAAATGGTGGACTGATGCTCTATGCCACAGTCATCTGAAGAGGCAAAATGGACTCAAAGAGGACGGGACCAAAGTTCAAGTAATATTTTGTTAGGAACCAGGATGAGCAATGGAAACTATGGACTCAGTGTGGAGAAAAGCTAAAAATCTTTGGTTTATTTCCTATTATCCCTAACAAAAAAATGTAAACAAAGTACAGCTCATTGGATTAGGCCAACTTTGGTAGCAGAATATGGAACATAGTGATGTCCCATTCATGCAGGCGTTTACAGGACACATGATACATTATTAAGCATAAATGCCACGAGACAGCAGCAGTTTGCTCAGATGAAAGATGCCAATCAGTGGTCAGTTTGATTAGAGACGCCATTCTGGGTTCAAATGGTTTTTTTCCCAGAGCTAAAGAAGAAATGGCACAGAACAGAGGTGTGGGCTGCGCTCTGTGAATTACAGGCTTTTTGGCACATGCACTAAAAGCTTGAAAACATGCTGGAAGAAGCACACAAGTGAAGCTATAAACGTCCAAGGACCTGGGCCACAGAGAACAATGAAATAGACACAGGCACTTTGTAATAAAACACTGCACAGCTGGCAGAGTCTGCAGCTTCAGGCAAACATGGTCAGCGAGATCCACTGCAAGAGAGACAGAAATAATGTTTCAGGCAACGTAACAACAGCGGATGCTCCACATGTGTATATATGCATCTGTGTTCACGACACGCGGTAGGAGTCAGGGTTATCATTAACGACAACTATAAGGAAACATTTTCATAAACAAATAAAATAAGTTACAAAAATAAAGTAAAAAAAAATATATGAGTACAAGCACAGCACATGCATCTTTAAAATAAAAACCACACTGAAAACTAAAACTAAACTGGATTCAAATGAAAATAATATAAAAATAATAAGTTTTTAAAAATCGAAACTAATACTGCTGGGAACTATGCAGGTATTCTGTGTATAAGTGACCAGCTCCAGAACCTGTAATTCTATACAATATTTATGCCACTGCATGTGATTCGATCTCTTATTGGTGCAGACAGTCTTTAAGGGCAGCTTCCCCTTCTGCTGCTTTTGATAATGAAAGTCAGTGAAGTTCAGTGCGAATAAAGGTAATTTCACTCATGAAATCGCTGACAAACCTGGAAGAAGTTGAGAGAAACGACTCCATCTGCGTCTGTGTCCATCATTCTGAAAGTTTCTGTAGGAAGCCACGGAACTTTGGTTACTCTCGCTTTATGGGTGAGTCACTTCCTGTTTCCCAGCGGTGGTGAGTCACTTCCTGTTTCCCAGCGGTGCCGCCGCCCACTACCCTGCTCTGTCCCAAAGCCATTATTCCACGTCTCCTCCCTCATCTCCCTCTCCGTCACCCTATCTGGTGCCAGTGCATCCATTTTACGAGCCGTAATGTGAGTGGGGGGGGAGCCCATAGGCGATCTGGGTCTGCGGGCATTCAGACACTCACTAAACATGGTCTCCAGCCGGACAAGGCAGGTGATGAAGCCGTCGAAGTCCACGTTCAGGTCGGGCTTCGCATAGCGCAGGATGATCAGCTGGAACAGGTGGTTTGTGATCTTGAACCCTGACATCCAGACATAAACAGACGTGTGAGGGCAGGAGGTAGGAAGGTGCTGGAATTATTGGGGGTGGGGTTGGGGGTGGCACATTTATTTGAACTATTCTACAAAATTAAAAAACAGCCTGCGAGCCCTTAAGGCCGGTGTCTCATGGTGTCGGCTCACAATGTGTTTCCAGAGAAAAGGAAGAAGCCAATGTAACATCATTCCTCTAATCAGTGGCAGTAAGAATAACCAGCAGCAAGCTTGACAGATTTTACCAGCCCGACTCCCTGTCCTGATGATCCTTAATACCGGCATACAGGCCCCAGCCATCAACAAATCTCTTCATTTGTCTATTAAAAAAACCCTCAAGTGCCCCCCTACTTGAGCGAAAGATCTCCCTAGGGTTTGAGAATTTTAATATTGGTCTCAGAAATTCCCCGACAGCATCTCCTCCACGTTCATGGACCTGCTCTCCCTTTCCTGAATCTTCATGCTCTTGTGAGGATTTTAAGACGTACCTGCAGACTCCAGAGCCATCCGCATTTCGTACGAGCCCATGGTGCCTGATTTGTCCAGGTCGAACTTCCTGAACACAGTCTGTTGATTGAATGGAACAGGGAAAATGGAGAGCAGAACATGGATACTGGACAGACTGCAAACAAATACGGAACAGATTAAGGGGGAACCGGAACAGATTAAGGGGGAACCGGAGAACCGCGTGTGTAAAACGCATCAGGCACGTGTGACGGATGCCTATACGGAGAGCAGCATCATGTGGGGCCCTCTGACCAGGTATTTCTTGACCTTCTCCCACAGCACGTGAAACTCCATGAGCCCGAGTTTGCCGCTGCCGTCCGTCTGGGATTTGGGGTTAAGGGGAACAAACACAGAGCGGGCAGAGAGGAACAGAACCCAAAGCTGGGGCAGCAAGACGCAGGCTGGCGTTTAAGGAGAGTGAGGCGCTGGCGTTTAAGGAGAGTGAGGCGCTGGCGTTTAAGGAGAGTGAGGCGCTGGCGTTCGCACGAGGCTCAGGATACGTCCATGAGGTTCACCATGCTGCGACACGCCTCTTTTCCGAAACCGTCCGTTTTCAGATCTTTATCTGTTAAAGGAAAGTGTTGCATGACAGTGTTTCTCTTCTTTAAGACACCCGTTCCTGGATCACCCGTCTGCTCACAAGCAGTATTTTTTTTTTATTTATTTTTTCTTTGAATCATTTTTCAGGAGGGAAATAACATGCATTATCAAGTAAAATTTGACTGGCTGATTGACTTGTAATGTAGGACAATGAACTTCCTCAGAGAGCTGACTCACGCTTGCTGATGACTCTGTTAAGGATGGTCCTCAGCTCAGCTGTGCCTATCTGCATGTCCTGCAGGAGAAACGGGCTGTCAGAACGACGGTAGGTCTGTCTCCACCTCCCACACCTGTCCCACCTCTCACCGGCCCAGCCAGCTGCTTAAAGAGGGACTTGAACCCAGCGTCTATCTGGCTCTCGTCCAGGGGGACCTTCAGTAAAGAGAGACAGATGTGTGATGGATGGTCTGATTGGATGTCCACGTGGGATTCACCGCTCGGTTAAAGGCGAGGTCCATGCTCACTCAGCTGTCCCTTACCTCATCGGGAAGATCTGCTGTGACTTCATCGTCCAGTTCCCTATCGCAAAGGAAAGCAGGCCAGCTGTTAGTTCTTTTTCACCGTAGGTGGACGGTTCAGTTCCAGAAAGTAAAAATCCAGACCAGGATTTTGTTTCAGCCAACCAGTTAAGTATAAAGAGTCACAGTCATAGAGTACTCAACTGGCTGGTTGAAATAAAATCTTGGTCTGGATTTGTACTTTCTGGACCTGAGTTATCCACCTCTGCTTTTCATACATTCAGGCTGGTCGAACAGATTGTCAGGCTTCAGCGTCTCCCTTTCTGATTTCTCTGCATTCCTCTTTTCTTTGAAGTTAGTTTATTTTTGTCTTTCGCTCTGGAGCAAATCATCATCATCATCCTACATCTTCTATTTAACATTCTGTCCCAGCATTTCTTTGCCCTTTACCTCCATCTTCTCCCGACCCCTGCATCTTCCATCCTTCCATCCACCCCTTTATTTTCACTCTCCTCACTCCCACACACACACACACAATCTCCTCTACCCTGGCTCTGACTCACTCCGAGTCGGCCGGCTTCTCTGAGAAGACCCTGAGCACGAAGTCGCCCTCCTTTTGAGGCTCGAAGGTGGAGGGAACGACAATGTACTCGCCGGCGGGCAGGCAGAAGCGCGAGCTCACTTCCCGCAGGTTGATGAAGAGCTCGGAGCGGGCGCTTGAGCCGTGCGACAGAAAGAAGTCCCGCTTCAGGTGCACTCCGGCCTTCCCCATGTACTGAGAATGAAATCAGCACAGCCTCCGTAAAACCTGTATGGCAGGAACTTGCACAAGCGTCTGTATGTTGGTGCTTTTCCAGCAGACTATCAGGTTCCAAATTACTTTTTGAGTAAATACTCCAGTTATTATCTTAAAAACATGGGAACCTGTGACCAAATGGTCAGGAGGTTGGTGACCAGGATCTGCTCTTTTGGGCGTTCAGGAAATCAGGATTTTTTTTTAGCCATAATTATGCCTTAACAATCTTTCACCTGAGCTCAACCGATCAACCGCACCTCTGACCCCATGAATAACAATACAGCATGGGAATACGAACAGTGGTGTTCTTCGGTGTCAGAAGAACAGAAATGTACATACTTCATCTGGAACCTGGGGAGAATGAGAGTGAAGAAGAGGGAGAGGAGAACAGGAAACAGATCAGTTACTTTCTTCAGTCTCTGTATGCCTTGCTTTTAATAATCTGAGCACAGTCCACACCCAGCTTCATCACCGTGCCACCACCCTAGGTTTTTATAATAATACTCTCCATAATACTCACTTTCACTACATCTCCCACTGTGCTCACTACATCTCCCACTGCACTCACTACATCTCCCATTACAGTATCATAGGTGTCCAGCTATGGGCAGTAGATCGTCCTGCTTGCCTCGTAGATGGCAAATCCGATAGTCTCCATGTCTTTGCCCTCTCGGCGCAGTCGGCGCCGGTCCTTCTGCATGAGCGCGACTACGAAGCTGCAGCCGGGCTGACCGTCTGAGTCGGGATGCTGCAGCGCCACCTTGAACTGCGGATTGAGCCAAAACGTCGCTGAAAAGCAGGTGAGTGATACAGGAAGTCATACGAGATTTTATGAATGGAACATCAGGCCGGAGCGCTCTGCTGCCCCCTACCTACCGGGGTAGTTCCTGCAGCCCCCGGCAGTGCTGCCCCTCCGCCACTCGCCCCCGTGCAGCACCGTGCTCCACTTCTTTGCACGTGCGGCTTCTAGGGCATCAGCCGTCAAGTTGCAGATCTCCAGGCGGCTGAACTCCCGCATGAAGTCTGAGAAGGACATCCTGATATGGACGACAAGAAGGACAGAGAGAGAGAGGATCAAAGGTA